GGGAGAGAGAGAGAGAGAGAGAGAGAGAGAGAGAGAGAGAGAGAGAGAGAGAGAGAGAGAGAGAGAGAGAGAGAGAGAGAGAGATGGCATGAGGGGAACTCTGAGGAAGGGGGAGGCCGCAGGGAGGGAAAGAGTTGGCGAGGGAGGACATACCTTGTGGTAGCCAAGACGAGCTCCAGCATGGTCCATCCTTCGTTCAGGCATTGGTAGGAGCAGCATTGTTCTCACGTGCCATTGTATATTGGCGTAGTGTAGGCTAGGGTAGTAGATAGAGTAGATGATCACATAGTGTGGTAGAGAGACCAGCAAGAGCAGAGGATTGTTACTTCTTGCTCATTGGGAGGCAAGAAGAGTTTTCTTCCTCGTGAAGAGACTTCATCATTGTGACTTTTTGTGCTAGTGTGATCATGGCTTTGTCATTTCTGCTAATTGCCTGGTCACCTGAGGCATGCTGGCAACTAGAGTTCATTGTGCTCGTCAATTGGTTTCTCCAGTGGCGGTGTCCTCCAAGGAGGCGGTGAATGGAAGGGTCGATGATCTCTTACAGTCTGATAGGCCATGGGGTGATGGGTTCATTGACCCCACTCTCAATTGCTGGGTGTCATGCTGCAGACTTCAGAGAGGGACTTTCAGTCAGATGTAGAATATCATATTGTCGGGGGAAGGAAGTATTGATGGCTCCCTCTCGATCGTGTGATGGCTGGTGAGTTTGCGGCATGCAATTGTGCATTTCCTGATGTTGAATGTATTTTGGGAGGTTTTCGGGCTTTCATGATGTCTCAGCCGCTGGGCACTGTTAGGCGAGCAAAGAGATGGGAAAATTTGTCTGACGAACTGAAATGACGGTGCTTTGCTGTGAGGAAGTAAGGGACTGGCTGGAAAAAGGCCAATGCTGAGAATCCACCCTGCTGCAACTGCAGCTCGATTCAAGGGAATTTAGGTAAACGAAACGAAAGAAAAGCCATGGGATTTTGTCCTCTCCTTCCCACTGTTCCTTGTTGTCTGCCAGGAGTGTGCGTGGAAACAGCCCCCTACCAAGTAATGAGCAGGGCTGTCATGAATGCACCTGCACAAAATTGTGGCTGGATGCAGAATGGAAAAGCAGTTGCACTGTACCCTAGTAACCCAGCTAACCATAAACTGTTTGGCCTGGCTTATCCTGGAATCTGTAGATAGGTTTAGGCACTGATTTAGCATTTGTATATATGTGCAGTAGCTGATCGTCCTTGATGCTGACGTCAAGTACCTCCAACAATTCATCCATTGATCGGGTGCCATGGCCGTTATACTGCATGTATGGTCTTTGCATGTATGGTCTTTGTGGTGCCCGTTCTTCCTTCATGTTGGCCCGCAATCGACATGCCATTTGTCAGGAATTTATGATCGCCATGCTCAATGTCAGCCCCCGTTGCCATTGCTGTACTCAGAAGGCTCAGTTCGTTCTTCCATGCCCTCATCCGTCTCATCCTTACAGTGTATGTCCTCTCTGTGGTGAATGACAGACTGATTCTTCAGCTTTCTTTTTATCTTTTCTTATGCTTTCACCTTGATTCCACACTCCTTACCTTCCTCTTATTCCTGCTTGTTTTCATTTGCTTTCCCTTTGTCTCCCTTACTTTGTCTTCTTTCCATATTTTGTCTATGTTTATCCCCTCCCCCCCTGCTCCGCCTCGTCTTCACAGTGTATGAGTGGGCCGTTATGGCACACAGGGATGCGGGCAGCGTGCATGGCAAGCCTTGTACTTGAGAGGCACAGTTAAGGGGGAGCCCGAAGAAGAAATGATCCAAAGAATAGTTTCAGTGAGCTCTTCATGTTTGTCTGGTCTAATTTTTGTCGTTTCTTTCGCAAAGTGCACTCTTTTCGTTGAGAGATATGTGACAATATGTTTCCAATATACAATATTTCTGGAGTCATTTGCACTCTGCATGGTATCTGTTATTGGAGGAAATCGGAGAATGTGATTGGCATCCAAGAGAATGGAGTGTAGAAATCCAAGCTGTGGCCCCAACTCGGGCTCGCCAGTTTTCACACAGGCGGGACACCAATAGCTACTCGGTTGTGTTCACATCCTTCCCCATTTGACATTCCAACCCCGAAGCTCCGTGTATACTGAACCAAGGCCCTAAAGAAGTCACCATCAGTGGGTACTCCTTACCCAAAATCAGAGTAATGGGGCTGTGGCCAAAGGCTTAATTTCAAATAGACACTCACATCCAGGAGCTGGAATTTGACCCAGCTGAATGGGGTTGGCAACTGAAGAAGGGGAGAAGGAAAAACACCACCTTACCAATATCAGAATACATAGTCAAATTAGGCTATGAGATGATACTCAAGACACAAGACCCCGAGCAGCAACTAAAAAACGCAGATGGACAGGGCTGCTAGGAGATGAGGCCAACCGAATTTCCAAAATACCATGGAATGTTTTTCAAAACAATATGCCCAGTCAAGGTTAGAAGTCCCCAATGGCTCATCAGATGTGTAGCCCTACCGATCTATCACTGGCTACATGTCAGGAGTAGGGACCCTAACAGCTCGAAGAGATGTCTAGCCTGATCAGACCAAGAACAAGAAGATTTACTACACTGTGTAATCAGGTCTAAAGGAGCAACAGAACTATGAGCCAGAGCCTCTGACCTGTGGGACCACCTCTTTTCCTCCCACCTCCAGCTACTCCTATGGGAAAACATCCCTTGCCGGTTGAGCAAGCTGGAAAAACAGTGGTTTTGACAGATCCGCAAAGCAATACTACGGGTGATCTGGAAGGAAAAGTGCAGCAGGACTCTGAACAATACTAAGAACAGACTGATAAAGTCTGGGCCGCAACAAAGAGCATGATGGAGGCAGAGATTCTTTGCAAATGGCGAGGGCCCGAAGGGTTAAGGATGCAGTACACAGCTACCCGGATACAAGTCAGATACACCTTGCAGCTTTCAGAAGAGTCTGGCTAGCCAAGGATAAGGCCGCTGATATGAAGGGCATGCGGCTGAAATTCAAGGACTGACATAATTCAGAAATTCCGCTATGGAGGTCACAGAGCCCAGCAAGGTCGTGATGGGCAGAAGGATGGCCACATCAGTGGATGAGGATGCGACAAGATGTTTAGATGAACTCGTGGACGGAAGTAGGAGGGGAAGAAAGGATGCCTTCTTGTGATTCTTGATGTGCATAGCCAGAGCTGACAGGTCCACAGAAGGAACCTGAGAGGAATACCTAAGAAGGGCACGCTGACAGTCAATCCTCATGTAACATGGAGCAATCAATGCTGGTAAAGGATCCTTTGGCCAAACGGAAGGATGCACGAGTGTGTAAATGATGTATTGTACTATCTTGACTTGCTGGGGGAATATGAACTGGACTGATGCTCCCCAGAATGGACAAGGAGCCAGGGCCATACGGACCTGTTTGTTTTTCTACATCTACATCTACATCTACATCTTCATACTACTAAAGGAAAAGCCGGGTCTCGTGTGATGCTGACGCGAGACCCGGTTTCCGGGTTTGGGACTCCGGGTGGCGGGCCCAGGCGGGAAACAAACAAAAAAAAACCTTGGGTGGCGCGGCCGAGGCCGAAAAAGACAGAAAATGAAAATTGCGAGCGCCAGGCCTACGAACAGGCGCGGGCGGGGAGGCCTGCTGACCTTCCGGCCTACCAACAGGCTCCGGCTGGGGAGGCGTACTTTGAACTGGCGCGGGCTCTAGCGGTACATTCATTCGATCGATGGAAGTACCATGGGGCGAGCCGCGGGTTTGGAAACTAGCGGCAAGGCGACGGGCGGGGCGGCGTCCTTTCGTGCGGGGGGTGGGGGAGAGAGAGAGAGAGAGAGAGAGAGAGAGAGAGAGAGAGAGAGAGAGAGAGAGAGAGAGAGAGAGAGAGAGTTTTGATCGATGGAAAACTCTCTCTCACTCTCACTCTCACACACACACACACACACACATGAAACTGTTGAATTGCAGACGCGAGTTTGAATCCAGCGGCGACAACAGTAAATAAAATAGTTCTAATTTACAAACCATCCGAAATACCCCCATGAGTTTACATAAATTTCAAAATGTCCCTAAAAGATATGGTCATAGTGGAATGGC